GTCTTGCGCAACTTTTTGTACGTAACTCTCCGCCTGGAATATTCATAGACCTCCCTAGTCGAACATCTTGTAAGTAAGATCTGGAAATCTTGAAATTCGTAAGTAAGATCTTGCCAAGATCTTAAAAAGATAATTTCTTTTTTTTGAGAAAGCATATCTTGATCATATCTTACGTATCTGTAACACAGATCTTATTAAGATCTTTCCTCAAGATATCAAGCTTTTCAGAAGACATGAAGAAAAGTTAAATTGTAATTATCTTGTACCGCAGATCTTATCAAGATCTTTTCTCAAGATATCAAAACTGTCAGAAGAGTGGAAAAAAGTTAAACTGTAATTATCTTGCACCAAGATCTTGAATAAACTAAAGCGACATCATTAATAGAAAAAAATAATTCATATATTTGAATTATTTTATTAAAAATATTCATAAATCATAACAGAACAGAAAAAAAAAATAAAAAAAGCTTTTTTACAGTCCTCATACATATGAACCAATAAAAACAAAGAATGAACATAAAGATAACAAACGTTATAACGGCCAAGTCTTTATCTCATATAAGCATGAAAAAGCTTATTTAAATAATTATGTATCCATTAATGATGATATATTGGTTCTTCTTAAATATATTAATCATGATTTTTTTCGACGAACGAAATATTTTGCAATTGTAAAAATGAAATTTTTTTATGACAATGATGAGAATGAAGAGACTTAAATTAGAAGTTTTTATGAAATAATTTTTGAATAATTATATTTGTTTTTTAGAAATTTACTGAAGTTTACTTGCGTCAATTTTAATACTAAAAAAATGATCAATTCGATTAACATGTACATTATCAATCTATGCTAGTATATCGAGTTGTTGAAATAAACTACGCATTTTTAGACATGTATGTCATTTGTTTTAAAATAATTAGTTACTGTTGTTTACTCGTTTTAGTTTAATTTTATTTCTGCATATTATTAATTTTAGATATAAACAATAAATTTTGTTCGAAAAGTACGACTCAACGAACAAGATAATGTACGCGTTAATACCGCTTGGCACGCAATGAAAGTGAAGTATTTAGGATGCTTCGAAATAATGAAGACGAAGATGATGATCTTATGAACATCTCTAATTCACTGAATCCAGTAGCTGGCGATATTTTAGATAACGATGCCGTTGTTACTATTGATCAAGCCATTTCATTGTCATCATCATCGTTGACATCATCGTCTGATGCTGAATTATATGATGAAGCTGGTTCAAATTTATTTTTATTATTTTTTATCTTGTATTTCGTGTACTTCTGATTGATTTGTGTTTATACAGATGATTGTGAATTAAAAACAGTTGTTATGGTGTTTATATTTTATTACGTTTTTTTCTGAAGTTTGTAATTGTATTTGATGTTCACGTGTGTTATTGTATGTTCATGTAGGTCTTAAATTTAAATATATTAGTACAAGATCTGAAGATCTTACCGAGGTAAAACGAAAATATCATTCATTACAAGATCTTATGCTCAAGATTTCAAATATCTGTTACCAAGATCTTAACAGGCTATACATAAGATATTAACAACGTGTACATAAGATCTTAACAATCTGTACCTAAGATCTAGTCACAGATCTTGTGTACAAGATAATCAAATTATCTGTACCTATTTTTTCAAGATCTGTTCACTTATCTGTTCCTAAGATCTTGGCCAAGATCTTGCTTATAAGATGTTCGACTAGGGCTATACGCTCATTGGTAAGAACTATTTTCGCTGTTCTCTTGTTCCTGAACATTCTATGTTGGCACGTACTTACGTAATAACATCGTCGACTATATAAAGACATGTTTTTTT